TTCTAGAAACTGATCTCCCACATTGAAAACGGTAAATCAGAGATTTTCAATAAGATGGTCATGTTGAAAAATGGGAGCCAATCCCTACACAATATAAATTATAGAATTGTATGCATCCACATTCATATATACGTTCTATAAATGTACAGCGATACTCTAAAGGGTTAATCGCAGTGTATATTATTTTTTTTATAACTACCTTAAATAAAACGCACAACCACAAAAGTCCAATTCATAGCTTTTCTGATATTATCTAAAATTACAAAAAATATAAACATGAAAGTCTTCTCCCAACAACTAAAATAAATAAAGGAACATTGTGTAAAGGTTTTCTTTCACTTTTTCTTTCACAGCAAGGTCACACAACAAACATATCTTTTACACTTTCACTTTCACTGAGCGATGGATGGGATCGTCTGTCTTTTTCCTGTAAATTGGTCATCTTGGATTCCATTGCAATTTCCAGCATTCTTTGAAGTCAGGTGGAGGGTATTTAAATCAGTGAGCTTCCTGTAAACCACGCGTTTTATCTGTTAATGTATTAATATGCAAATGACCTTTTCCTATTTTAAGGCATAGTTTAAGAGATAATATTCCCTATATACTGACTCCATAACAGGAAATGCAATCCATAAATGTAAATAATAACAGGACCTGCCTGTTGGTTTTTGAATGTGTGGAAAATGTGTGCGTCGAGAGGACACCAATAAATAATTCATAGTTTGGAACCGCAGTGACTTGCCAATTTTAATTATTGTAGTTTCTCTTTCAAATTTGTAATCACCCAAAATAGACGCATAGAGTTCGTAGGGTTAAATATCTACTATTGAAAGTATTCATTAAATGTTCTGCATTTTATGTATTTTCCCAGAACCTGTTTTGCTTTTTGTTTTGCTATTACAATCCTTTATTGTCAGACGTGCTTTAAAAGAACTTTAAAATATGTTTTACCATTTTTACTTCTGTTTGTTATTATTCTCTGTTTGCTTATATTTTCTAAAAGCTATTTTTTTTCCTTAATATCATTCAACACAAGTCTAAATGCTGTTTTCAAAAAATCCTATTTTGCTCCTTGTGTTTATTAGACTAAAGCACCAGCAGTCCAGCTTTTAGTTTAGTTATAAAACTATAATTACCCAGAAAAACTAGATAAAAGATAATTCAGATGTATCTGTAGTCATTTTGGGTATATCTCCGCTTGGTTTTTACTATATATTGGGGCTGATGTGCACTGTAGTCTTTGCTGCCGCCCAGTAGTGATGGAAATGAGCGCAGGACCTATCTTTCTGCATTTGTATCCACTTTTTGTATCACACAGCCTTGTTGCAATGCTGCCGCCCATCCCATGTGTTCCCTATTAAGGGTTAATAAATATATAGGGGTGTAAATAAAAAATATCCCTTTCTGTCTCATATTTATATGAGGCTCAAGGAAGCAAGGTGAAAGGTTAGAGTTAGGACCCACCTAGGGGGGTCTGCCTTGACGTTGGCAGGCAGGATTATCCTCTCATGGCCATTGGAGGTAACTAAAAAAACTCCATTTGGTTTTAAAAATACATAGGGATTAAGGATTAAGGAGAGAGTGCAGGTAACTTATTTTTCTTGTTCTTTACTATATATCTCCACTAATGCCTATATCTTTAGTCATTTCAGGTATATCTCCACTAATGCCTATATCTGTAGTCATTTCGGGTATATTTCCACTAATGCCTATATCTGTAGTAATTTCGGGTATATCTCCACTAATGCCTATATCTGTAGTCATTTTGGGTATATCTCCACTAATGCCTATATCTGTAGTCATTTTGGGTATATCTCCACTAATGCCTATATCTGTAGTCATTTCGGGTATATTTCCACTAATGCATGTATCTGTAGTCATTTCGGGTATATCTCCACTAATGCATGTATCTGTAGTCATTTTGGGTATATCTCCACTGATGCATGTATCTGTAGTCATTTTGGGTATATCTCCACTAATGCCTGTATCTGTAGTCATTTTGGGTATATCTCCACTAATGCATGTATCTGTAGTCATTTTGGGTATATCTCCACTAATGCATGTATCTGTAGTCATTTTGGGTATATCTCCACTAATGCATGTATCTGTAGTCATTTTGGGTATATCTCCACTAATGCATGTATCTGTAGTCATTTTGGGTATATCTCCACTAATGCATGTATCTGTAGTCATTTTGGGTATATCTCCACTAATGCCTGTATCTGTAGTCATTTTGGGTATATCTCCACTAATGCCTGTATCTGTAGTCATTTTGGGTATATCTCCACTAATGCCTGTATCTGTAGTCATTTTGGGTATATCTCCACTAATGCCTGTATCTGTGGTCATTTTGGGTATATCTCCACTAATGCATGTATCTGTAGTCATTTTGGGTATATCTCCACTAATGCCTGTATCTGTAGTCATTTTGGGTATATCTCCACTAATGCCTGTATCTGTAGTCATTTTGGGTATATCTCCACTAATGCCTGTATCTGTAGTCATTTCCGGTATATCTTCACTGATGCCTGTATCTGTAGTCATTTCGGGTATATCTCCACTAATGCATGTATCTGTAGTCATTTCGGGTATATCTCCACTAATGCCTGTATCTGTAGTCATTGTGGGTATATCTCCACTAATGCCTGTATTTGTAGTCATTTCGGGCATATCTTCACTGATGCCTGTATCTGTAGTCATTTCGGGTATATCTCCACTAATGCCTGTATTTGTAGTCATTTCGGGCATATCTCCACTAATGCCTGTATCTGTAGTCATTTCGGGTATATCTCCACTAATGCATGTATCTGTAGTCATTTTGGGTATATCTCCACTGATGCCTGTATCTGTAGTCATTTTGGGTATATCTCCACTGATGCATGTATCTGTAGTCATTTTGGGTATATCTCCACTGATGCCTGTATCTGTAGTCATTTTGGGTATATCTCCACTGATGCATGTATCTGTAGTCATTTTGGGTATATCTCCACTGATGCCTGTATCTGTAGTCATTTTGGGTATATCTCCACTGATGCATGTATCTGTAGTCATTTTGGGTATATCTCCACTAATGCCTGTATCTGTAGTCATTTTGGGCATATCTCCACTAATGCCTATATCTGTAGTCATTTTGGGTATATCTCCACTGATGCCTGTATCCGTAGTCATTTTGGATATATCTCCACTGATGCCTGTATCTGTAGTCATTTTGGGTATATCTCCACTAATGCCTGTATCTGTATTTCAGTTGTGCAGTGTTCAAATTACGTTTGCCGTTCAAATTTGGGAGAATAAGTCACCACCTTCAATTACCTTCTTTCTACATACTGCTAAAAATGGTACTTTCTCCAAGTAACAATAATGTATGCAGCGCCATCATATTCCGAAGCGCTGTACAATACATAAACCAAGAGAAATAATTATAATAAAACACGTTTGACATATGAGAACAAGGGGAAGAGGATCATGCATCTCTCTCTCTCTATATATATATACACACACACACACACACACACACACACAATATGATATATACACAATATGTCTGCAACATGATGAGCGATTAAATGAGATATTGGCAGCTCAATCTCCAGTTTTCTTGATTTAATTAGAATATTCATGTACATCTAGTACTGTGTTCTGAATGTCATGTCCAAGGCTAATATCACCATTTAATATCTAATTTTCGCAGACAAGCCCAATAGCTTGCCTTAATAACAGTCATTTATTTATAATGACATTTCTTATGCTAGATATGCTAATTCACTCAAGATTCAATGGACAATTAGCATGCATAAAATCTTCATAGATATAAATATGTTCATAACATGAACCCTGGTTGCTCATTCTTGGATGTGAATATTGATGAATTATTGGTAGTTCTTTTATGTTGTCTACTCACTAAATGTCAGCATGATCAGAGAATCTCTAGCTTCTAACATTCTAAGATATTTTTTAAGATAGCATATTAAGAGGGAGAACAAAGGCCACGGTTTTATTGTGTTGGGTAAGCTTTCCAAATTATTTAAATATCTGGATAAAGTTTTAAATATATTACAATATAAAAAATATACTTTATATATAAAAAAAATACATCAATATATCAAAAAATATCAAAATATCACAAAATATTTCTAATAATATTAATTAATTTTAACAGCATATCCAAATATATTTGGAAAGATTATTCAACAGTATTAAATGGAGGCCTTAAAGTCTGATTGTGAGGTTAAACTCATCAGGAAACTTTGCCAAGAAGAAGTCATGATAAGCACTGTTAATTTTCTTGGAAAGTCATGAATCCATGGTGTCACTATGTTGACCATATGATCAGATAATAAGATGTTTTATAAACCCAGAATGTTCTAACTGGTTTTAGAAAGAAAAATATATCTGTCAGATTGAGTTAAACTAACTATCATCTGACAGTTACGAACCCACAAATATGGTCGAGACTCAAAAGATATTTCATGAAAGCAAATAACTCCTGATGAAAAATAAAGTAATTTAATCTTGTCATTAAGGTGTTCTCTGCTTTTGAATATATTGCAAACTTTTGAATGGATTTTGATCTTGGTAGGAAATGTGGTCATTGAAAATCTGGGATTGTTTTTGGAATATACATGCAGATTGTCTAACAATATTCTTGGTCAAGTGAGCAACCCCATGGATAATTAACTTTGACATGAGCAGCTCATCCACTGCACAAGTCAAAAGTTGATTCTTGTTTGTCTTGGCAGAATCACCAGTGGCAAAATATTTCAAGAACTTATTTAGAAGGAAATAATGTTCATTCTATGTAACAATTTCTGCAAATCCTGAAAAGGAATTGTGATAGATTGAGACTGTATCCAGCAGCTAATATTATCTGACCCATGAAAGTCATTCGGCAGGTTTTGGTCATAAAGACCATTCATCTTTAGTATGCTTCTTACATGTATTAACATGCACCACATATTGTAGACATTTATTACGTGTGAGGATCAGACAGTGGAATGAAAGACAAAAAAAGAGAAACAAACAGGGCAGGAGATGGTACTAGAAGGGGGAGGTTGATTTAAAAAATGTCACATTAAAAATGCATGTACTCACATATCGGAATCCAGAATATGCCTAATGCATATTTTGGATTATTGAATGCGAGTGCTTGTATTCTTAAACTCTGTAAAAAAAAATTCAACTCTCCCTCTTCTAGTACCATCTTCTGCCCTGTTTGTTTGTTTTTTTCCCTTACATTTTTTTAAGTCTTTTTTTGTAACTCTCTGATTTTCAGACTAATTACATGCCGGAAGAATAAATTCCATTTTCTTTTTTTGTTTTTTCCTTACACTAACCAAAAAAATGTATTACAAGATACAAAATGCTAATTTAATTTGTCATTTTAAATCTACATCACTGGACTAATATGGCTACAATCTCTACTTGAATAATACTATGTATTTCAGTGTATATATATACATATATATGTATTTATATATATATATATATATATATATCTACACACACAGTTGGTATATATATTTACTTAAATTCCCCAAGGTTCTATCCTTGGTCCCCTACTGTTCTCGATCTGTACTGCCTTCCTTGGTAAACTCATCAGCTCCTTTGGCTTCCAATATAATTTCTATGTGGATGACACAGAAAGCTATCTTTCCTCTCCTGATCTCTCTCTGCCCTTCTTGAATATTGTCTGTGACTGTATCTCTGCTATACCCAACTGGATAGTTACACTACTTTAAACTCAGCCTGTCTAAAACAGAACTTCTAGTCTTTCCTCCCTCAAGTGCTATTACTCTGTGTCTCCCTTCCTCCAAGTCAACGGCACTATCATCGACTCTACCTCACAGGCTCACTGTATAGGTGTTCTCTTGGGTGACTCTGACCTCTCCTTCTCCCATCATGTCCAGTCAATCACCAAATCTTGCTGCTTCCATCTCAAAAAACATAGCGCACATCCCCCCCTATTTAACACCAGATGGGGTTATGGTGCTGGTCCATGCCACTGTCCTCTCTCGCCTTGACTACAGCAATCCCCTTCTTAGTGGTCTTACTTGCTCCCAACTTGCCCCGTTGAAAGTAGCAGTAAAGTTCATCTCCTTGTTTGCCCGCATCTCCCACGCCTCTCCCCTCTGTCTGTCCGTACATTGGCTTCAAGTTAGAGATAGGGCTCAAATTAAGATTCTGGTACGTGCATAAAAAATCTCTACATAATGCTGCTTCAACATACCTATCCTCCCTTATGCACAAGTATGTCCCGTCTAGGCCCTTACGCTCTTGCAAAGACCTATGTCTATCCTCTCCTTACTCCCACCTCTGATGCTTGGCTTCAAGACTTCTCTAGGGATGCACCATCCCTGTAAAACCCAGTTTCCTTCCTTCATTGGAAAAAAAAAACAATTAAACTTTCCCTCCCCACACCCTTATTCTTCTCCTGCAATTATCATAAAAAAATAAAAATAAAAAACACCAACTAAGCCCTCAGTGAATACTTTTCTAGCAACCTAGTTTTCTACCCTACCCTTACCTTTTGTGTCACTATACCTCATTCTTCTAACATGTAAGCTCATTTAGCAGGGCCCTCAACCCCCTGTTCCTGTGTGGGAATGACCTCTCTCTTTTCTCTGTTGGGAGAGTATCTTCGGAAAGATGCCAGGTGGGACATCTGAGATGAACACTCATACTACCAGGCCTCTAGTAGAGGACATGAAAATGAGGAATATACAAAAAATACCACCCAAAGGGGTGAGAAAGAATATATATATGGTATTTGCAGACATGCACCAAACAAAACAAAATTGAGATAATAGATCAAACAACAGTACAAACAATATATTATTTTGGAATGCTATGGAGTGTCAGATTAACCTTCTGCACTTAGTCCCACCTTAGTCTTAATATAATGCATTATTCCAAAATATCAATATATTCCAAATACTATGCCATTTATATTATCTATGACTTTAATCTCTAGTCCAGCACAATCTCTTGTACTCCTCTACACATTTCATGCAAACACATTTTACTTATTATGTGCTACAATAATAAATGTAAGCAATTTACCTGTCCAATTTTGATAACATTTTGCTAAAAAAACATGCTTCAATCTTCTCAAAAGAACCTGGGGTGCAGTTTATTGAGCTGTTCTCTGTCCATCCATCCATGAGATATATTTATAATGCAATTGCTGGTTAAATGTGGCCTCACATTGCTTCCAATTATATCCGTTGAATAGGACCTATGCTGGTCATCTTTGTAATAGTGTCGGGGAAAAAACAGAAGTGTAGGTATCCATAGATACCAGTTATAATCATACTGTGTTTTAATGATAACATGGGTTATAAAATAAATGAACTATCTTAAAGTGTCAATAAATTATAGAAACCAACACAAATTCATTAAAACGTGGAGAGAATAGCTCAGATGATAATTACATTGACAATGAGTCAATGTCAGGAGCAGTTTGAGACATGTACCCTTTATGATTTCTTAATACCCCTGTTTATTTTGCATTCTGCAGCACAGGATACAGAGTTAAAACTGTACATCTATCATTTAAGACAGACTTTTTGTAAGTAAATTTACATTGGCCTATAGCTACAGCAGGACTCAATTTTTCTACTAACCCACTAGGAATTGGCAAGAGGAAATTCAGGTCTATGTGGTGTACCATGGGTAACTTATAGTAGGAGTGCAAATACTTTAATGAGTCGTAATAACTTTATTGTTAAAGTTGTGTGTGTGATCTATTTATGCTCTTAATATTTGATTGTGTGTAATTGACTGTGTTTATGTGTGTACATGAATCCAGGAACATTTCTCTTGCCAATACCCCCCCTCCTGTCTCTCTCACCCACAACACCACTTTGTATCTTTTGCCCATAGGTCCTTTCTATAGCTCCATCTGTGTCTCCTTGTGTGTCTTTCACCTACAAACCCCCTTTACCTCTGTTCTTTTGCTCATTAACTCATTTAGATATTCGCGATGTAGTTCGAGTTGATTCTCTGTAGCAGCTACCAAATCAGTCATTAATAACAGTGGAAACAAAATTTATTATAGAAACATAGGATTGTAAGATTGACTGTCCCCTGTAGCAATTTTCTTCAGACATTAAAATATTTCCCAGAAATTAGAAGTCCATCATTCATAATACTAGATTTCGTTTGGTGCTTCAACACTTTTGAATTAATGAAAATAAAAAATATATATATTTTGGTTTGATGCTGACTAAATCTGCAACAGATATTTACAAAATGATTGCATGAAATTTTAAGTTTACAGGCTCAAAGACACACACACATGCACGCACACACGTACACACGTACACATGCACACTCACATACGCACGTGGCATTAATAAGACCAAAGGTATATTGATGTCTCCAGAAACAGAAGATGTCATTAATTTATTATAACACATCGCTCTCTGTTCTGTGTTTTGATGTTTGATGATCATTTTTTTTTTTTAAAATGTGTTATTTAAATATAATATTTTTATTTTTTTAAGTATTTTCTTGAAGAAATAATTGATATTAGGGATGTGCATGGGCAAAAAATTTGGTTAGTTTCAGCACTTCCGAAATTCGGGACTTCGGCAATTCGGTTTGGCACTTACGAAATCCAGGACTTCGGCAATTCAGACATTGGTAAGTATCCCTCTCTTACCACCACTTACACATCTGTAGGGCTCCCTAACCTTATCCCTACCCCTAACCCTTAACCCTAACCACCACAACCACTTACATATCTAGGGTCAGGGGTAGGGTTAGGTGCCCGGACTCCCACCACAACCACTTACCCATCTATAGGGCTCCCAGTGCCAGGAATTAGCTTATTGGTGTAGATTCCTGTCATCATTCATGTAATTTTCCCTCCCTCTCTTGTTTTGCCACTTTTCAGAAATCCGAAGCACTTCGGCACTTCCAAAATTCGGCACTAATGAAATTCGGCAATTCGGACATTCCGAACGAAGCAAATTGCACATGTCTAATTGATATAATCAGTAAGGTCAAATGAGTAGTTAAACGACAAATGTCATAGGTATAATACAATCAGTAATATCACATAACATAGAAAAACAACAAATGTCACAGATATAAACAAAACAAAAAACATAAAACGAAAAATAGGGAAAGCATAACAATGCATTGTATTTCCAAGGAAACCATTTACCATTTGGCAGGCTTATGCAAGTTAACGTTGAAAATATATACTAATAATAATTAGAACGGATCTTTGGCATGGTTCAGCCTCCGGGGCTGCATTGAAGTGGCCTATAAGGTGATGTTAGGGCCACCCGATGGCAATGGATTTCCAGGGTGCCCTTACACCAGGAGCCACGTGGGAGGAGGAGGAGGGAATCAGGGTGGGAACTCTGACTCCCATCAGGCTGAGCCAACACTGGACCCCAGGTAAAGTCACCCTCCTTCACCTAAAAGGAAGGAAACAGGAGGGTGACTTAAACATTTTGCATATGTGTCTGTTTGTATGTGTCTGTATGTGTGTGTGTTTGTGTATGTGTGTCTGTATGAATGTTTCTCTTTGTCTGTGTGTATGTGTGTCTGTATGTATGTGTACCTGTATGTGTGTGTCTCTGTATATGTGTGTGTCTATGTGTATGTCTGCATGTGTATCTGTACATCTGCATGTGTGGGGAGGAATGTATGGGAGGGGGAGGGTAGACACATGGGGGGCATGTCAGGAGGTAGACGTATAGGGGGGCCCCAGGGCAATTTTCGCACCGGGGCCCCGTGTTTTCTAGATTCGCCTTTGCCATGATGCACAACCTCACAACACAACACAAATCCGCGTGGCTGTAAATAACTTTCTTGCAGACAAAATTAGTTTGTCCTGGTGGGTAGAAATGTGTAACAATCTAGCAAAGGGGTCAGTAACTAGTTCAATAAGAGAAGAACCACCTGTTGAAATGGGGCCAACTATGGGCAACTCCTCCACATATAAAAGTATGATTTGTTCTATCCACTGCCTCTTGAGCATAGTGTAGAGTGGTCCAGAAAATATGGTTGCTTCACTGGGTTTAAGAACCATTTTGCCATTCTCACTAAGAGGCATGCATACAGCTGTGAAATGGTCAACCTGTTTCAGAGGTAAGTCATGCCTATTGACAAGGGCATCAACAGAGGAGGACACATCTCTGTAGGCAATGTCACAAGTGTTAGAGATAACCTACTGCTTAACACATCAACTGCAATATAATACAACTCTAACACCACTT